CCTCCCGCCGCTCAGCGGCCGCCGCCAGGGGGCGATGGCGCCCCAGCGGCGGCTGCGGCTGAGGGGCGGCGGCGCTACCCCGGCGCCCGCCCGTCCCGCGGCACCTGCGCGGCGCGTCCCTCGCGTTAAACACCGACAGCGCGAAACCGAGAAGTTCCGACATCCCCAAACTCGATCAGTTGAACCGAGGGCAGCCGGCTCCCCGGGGGACGCCCTAGGGCGCCCCCGCTCAGCCCTCACGGGCTGCGCTGACCCGCGCGGTCAGGACGTGTCCGGCTTTCCCGGGCCCCTCCGAGCCCGGCGGGGAGGGCAGGACAAGGACGTGGCCCCTGCATGGCGCGGGCAGCGCTGTACCGCGTACCTCAGCTGTCCTCACCGGGACCCCTGCCTCCTGAGCTTCACAGGAGGATGGAGGGAAGGAAACTTGTGTCTTTTTCAAACATGGACCTTTAGCGATCCAGCTTCCACTTGGACCGAAAAGCCTCAGCAGCACGACCTGAGGTGATTTTGGTGACGGAAGCACTTCCAGGATCCCTGAGCGTCTGGAATCCTCTGTGGAGGTTGTTGCAGAAGGTGTTTGAGTTCAGCAGCGCCAACTCACAGACTTACCCTGTGTTTAAAGAGTTTCAGAGCAGAAGACAGGTTGACAGTGCCTGTCACCGTCACATGCCAGAGCTCCTGCCTTTCCAGATCCATTCTGGGCAGGGATGGGAGTCAGGGTGCCGGACAGAGAACTTTCTACCTGCAGGATACTGTCCGGCCCCGGGTATTACCTTCATCCTGCTGCGTGCAGCAAAGCCAATCTGTATCCTGGTTTGCCCATCACTTCCCTGACTGTAAACCCTGTCCAAAACTGGGAAGTTCCGCACTGTATTGACATTATCAAAACTACCAAAATTTACATGATGAAACCCAGTCATTACTATTATGGTGCACGGAGCCAGCAGAGTTTTGCCAAGGACAGTGACAGACTCAGGCCCACCTGGATGTAAATGTGGCTTCCTGAGAGCCCCGTGGAGACTGTGAGGGACACCCAGTTGCTGTGGTGACTGATGGACCAAAGCAGCCACACAGGCTGCTGAAAGGCACTTTGGAACCACTGTGTGTGCATCCCCTGCACGCTGCTCCTGGAAGGATAGCATCCTCCTCACCACAGTGTTGGAACCAGCAGCTCCTTTCTGAGTAATGCCACTCATCCTCTTCTATCTCCTCCCAGATCTTCCAGACAGGTAAAAATCAGGCAGAGTAAGGGCCTGGTTTTTCCGCATTGTGTTTCTAGTTCTTTAATATTTCAAATAAATATTCAATTTTCTGGTTCCACCCTGAGAGATATGGTTCAGATAAGGGGAAAATAGAGAAGAACAGAGAGGCAGAAGGATTTTTAGCACACAGGGTGTCCCATCGCTGCAGTACAGGATGGTCCAGTGAGACAACCAAGTTGTGTCTGGGTACTAGAGTCACCTGTGGCTTCGTGGGATATCTGTTGGAATATGGAGTGGCAGTAGCTGTGTGTGTGTTGCTTTGTAGGCAGTGTTTGCTCTTGTGCCCTCCCCACCAACTCACTTCCCTGGCATTGCTGATGTGATGGCACAATCCCACAAGGATGGGGACTTGCTTCATATGCCCACAGCATCTTTCTCTCTGCAGCAGCCGCACCTTTCTCCCAAGTGTGCCTCAGCACACACTGCCAGCCTGCCCACCCCAAATGTGCAGGCTGCTGCCTGGTCACTGTAGCTGTGCCCAGACCTGAAATTAAGGTCCAGAGCAGGAAAGTTGTGCAGTCCATGTCCCAGCAGATGTCACACAACAAGGGCTAAGTAGAGTCACAGCACAGGATCCTGTTTCTTTTCCCTAAGCCGCCACAAACTATTTCAAAGCTACCGGCTTGATGCTGTCACAACACTGTAACACAGGGCTGCATTTGCTCCACCTGGATCAAACTCTCCTTGCGCTCAGCAAGTGCCATGTCCAAAGTGGCATGGCTGCACTTGCCTGGCTTAGTCGCTTTGACTTGATCTACCCAAATCTCTTCCAAAACCATGAAAGAACAGAGTGGCCTCGTCAGGAGGCTGGTAGGGACAGCAGGAGTGATGTGACCCAGAATCTCACACCCTGGAGAAGACGCCTGGGAGGTCTGTGAGGATGTGAGGCCCTGCTTGGTGCCGGGTGCTGCGCTGTGAGGGAGGCGATTGCCCTCATCGATAGCGTACATATCAAAGCACCCAGGGCAAGAATAAACAAACATCTTTGGCACTGTGCTTGTCTTCCATGAGCCAAAAGGCAGGTGTGTGTGTGTGTGTGTGGATAGCAAGTTTTCCAACCATTTCCCTGAACTCAGCCCTGATGTTGCAAGAACTGTCTAGCTGTGAAAACATGGCCTCGCCTTGATTTATGCGGCTTGTGGGTAAGATGACTAAGAAGAAGGGGGGGAGGGGGGGGAAAGAACGGAACAGGAACAGAAATCCCAGTGGGAGCACGATGAGGGTGTGTACAGATTTGGTGGGACAGTCAGGTTGGAGAAACTGCAGCCAGAGCTTCAGGCAGTAGGAAGAGGAGACCACAAAACCACATGATATGTGTCATGATGTTCCACCTAACATACAAAAGCATGCCACAAGTTTTATGAAGGCAACTCTTTGGTAGCAGTAAAGAAATTAATTCTTTTGTGAAATTGTAACTTTTTTTTTCTCCTTCAGATGAGTTCCATATGTCCTCGTGATTTTTACTTTTAAACACAGCAGTTTAGAACAAATCTTAAGTAACATTTAGCCTTCGTCTAAAGTAAATATTTACAAAAACACTAAATAATGGTGCTGATCTTTGGAAAATGTGTATTGCTCCCTACCTGCTACTGTTTCGTGCCTATCTTGACTAACAGAGGGGCTTTGTAATAAAGCCCAAGGCTGTAAAAGCAGTATAACAGTGTGATTAGAAGTAATCAGGTGGAAAATACTGACTATTAAAAACTATGAAGAGAAAGGAGGGCTAAGATGCAAATGGAAGGTTTAATTAGTTTGGTTTTATCAAATTTTAAGAAAATTAATGGGAGAATTGGCTTTTAATCTTACAAAAGCTGTATTTTTGCAGAAGCATAATAAATAGTTATAGCTGTTATTTATGTCATGTATCATTTTCAAAGAACCTTACTAAATAAATATTAATCATTTCACCAACCACTTAAAGGCAACCACTTTAGGGGTGCGGTGAGGCAACAACTTACCAAGTGAGTTGTGCTTAAACAGGAAGTGAAGACAGCCAGATTCAATAAGGAGTCCGTGTGGGTATAAAAAATATTTGTGGAGGCTTTAACAATATGTTTAATGAGGTAAAACTCCATGGAATGGAGGGTAGATTTCTTTGTTAATGAGAAGCATGCATTGAAACTTGTAATTACAGTGAGTTTCCAACAGGTAAAGAAGATTATTAGATCTGAGAAAACAGCTTGTGAGGGATCAGTATTTGCATGCAGGGAAGTGTAACATTTTTTTTAAAGAATGTGCTCCTCTCTGCTCACCTTCCTCACAGGAAAAACACCATATTGTTGGCCTGTGCTGTAGCAGTATTTCACTGTCTCCACCTTTCATTTGAAGGCACCCAGTGGATTTCATGTGAAGGCACATGGTGAATTTCAGTCTTTGCATTTCTTAAAACCTTCCTCCAGAAAGGAACTCCACTGGCCAATGACTCTCCCCAAACCTCTCCTGTGTCAAAACTGGAAGAGTAAGAACTCAGCTTTTCTTTTTTTCTATGAATGAAGCTGAAAGTGTCTTCTGCTCCTGCCAGAGATGGTAGATGAGATTCAATCTTCTTGCATGCCACAGATCACAGAACAATTTAGGTCGGAAGGAACTTCCTGAGGTTTCTGGTCCGACCACTCTGAGCAGGGTTCATTTCAATGTTCAATCATGCTACTGAAGTTCAATTAAAGATGCTAATTAGATTTCTTTACTCTTATACACAGGTGGCATTCTCTGTAGCTGTCCTGGACTCAAAAAAGTATTATGCCTAAAGCAGTTGCACCGCTAGCTGTCATGCCATGACTTGTTACTTGCTGTGACACCTGTGCTGTGATGTGTCTGGCAAATAGATTTTCCTGCAGAAGATTGATTTTGATGTTGTAGTCACATAAAACATCGTTGCTCAGCTGTGCAATTCATGATTTGAAACATGCAGTCGTCAGATGAACAAGCCTCCACTACTTAAAGCTGTCATGCCGAAACTGCTGAATTACCACAACTTTTTCAATGTTTCACATCTTTTTTTTTTTTTCATGTGTGTTGCAAGCAGTAGAATGTAGTCACTGTAGTCAATCTTACATTTTCTGTTTTTCCTTCTGTGTTCAATTCAGTGTCTTTTGTCTCAGTGTAGCAAAAACAACCAATCTAGTTCTTGAAGAAAATCCCCCCTCAGTCCTGGTATCCTCCCTTCTAAGAAGGAGGTATGAATTTTGCAGACCAACCAGCATTAATAGCTTGTATTACATTTTGCAAAGTCTCACCTTGTGCTGTGGCCTCTGCAATGACAGACCACATCCTGCCTGAGACTAGGCGTGTAAATAGCTGAAGAAAACCTTTCCCAGTGTCAGACTCTGGAATGCATTCTCCCTCTGTATAAAGTTTAGTCTGTGCTTGTGTATGTCTATATTGTTACCTATGCACATCTCTAAGAAGGTGTATGTAGCTATGTGTGTATGTTTATATATATTAGTGCATTCATATATACACATATATATGTATGTGTATATATATACACACAAGATGATGGGATAG